GCCCATGACAACCGTTATGGTTGTCATGCCCTGATGGCGGCCCTGCTTACCACCAGAGGAGGACAAGAGGATGATGATGGGCTCAGGCTGCAGTCTGGTTCCACTGGTCTGTTGTTAAAACAGGCTCTCTGGAGACAGTGCTCACAAAAACAAAAAAACAGGAAGCAGCTCCATTTTTTGGGGCCCCTTACACAGATCACAGTCTGGGCCCCCAGGGCCTGACTGTGAGTATGCCTACAAGGCCCACTCATGAGTTCGCTCACAGGGAGTGGAGTGTGTGTGCGTTCTAGAGGGAAACCAGTTTGTGTAAGTAATGTAGTGTGTTTGTGTGTAAGGAATGCATTGAGGGGGTGTGTGTGTTTGTGTGTAAGGAATGCATTGAGTGTGTGTATGTAAGGAATGAATTGTGTGAATCTGTGTTTGTATGTGTAAGGAATGCAAGGTGTGTGTCTGTGTATGTAATGTAATGCAGCATATGTCTCTGTAAGGGGTGCATTGAGTGTAAGAGATGCATTTTGTTTCTGTGTTTGTGTGTAAGAGCAGTAGTGTGTGTTTTTGTATGTAAGGGATGCATTGTATGTTTCTGTGCATGTATGTATGTATGTATGTATGTAAGGGCTGGGAGGGGAGCAGCTCTTTATTATTATTATATTTATTTTGTTAATATACTTTTTTTTTTTGTATATTTGTTTTCTTTAAGTTTTGTGTCTTACACCCCCTTTAGTTTATCTCTTACAAGCCCCTTATGTGTCTCTTATCCCCTCTTTATATGTCTTACTCCCCCAAGTCCCTTTGTGTCTCCCTCACAATTGACTCTGTGCATCTTTCTTCTGAGCCCCTCTGTGCATCACTTTCACCCCTTACTCATCCTCTCTGTTTGTCTTCCACTCCCCCCCATCCCTTAATGATCTATTCCACTCCACCTGTCCATTAGTGGTCTCTCTCTCTTCCTCACCCCCTCCCCTTTAGTGGTCCCCCCTCTCTCTCTCTCCCCCTCACTCCCCTTTAGTGGTCCTGTCTCTCTGCCTCCTCTCCCCTTTAGTGGCCCTGTCTCTCTGTCCCCCCTCCCCTTTAATGGTCCTGTCTCTCTGTCCCTCCCCTCCCCTTTAGTGGTCCTGTCTCTGTCTCTGCCACCCCTCCTCTTTAGTGGTCCTGTATCTATCCCCTCCCCCTCCTCTTTAGTGGTCCTTTCTCTCTAACCCCCTCCCCTCTTTAGTGGTCCTTTCTCTCTAACCCCCTCCCCTCTTTCCTCTTTAGTGGTCCTTTCTCTCTAACCCCCTCCCCTCTTTAGTGGTCCTTTCTCTCTAACCCCCTCCCCTCTTTAGTGGTCCTGTCTCTGTCACCCCCTCCCCTCTTTAGTGGTTCTTTCTCTCACCCCTCCTTTGAGTGGTCCTTTTTCTCTCCTCACCCCCTTCTCTTTTAGTGGTTCTTGCTCTCTCACCCCCCCTTCTCTTTGGTGGTTCTTGCTCCTCTTCTCTTTAGTGGTCCTTGCTCTCTCACCCCCCTTCTCTTTAGTGGTTCTTGCTCTCTCACCCCCTTCTCTTTAGTGGTTCTTGCTCTCTCACCCCCCTTCTCTTTAGTGGTCCTTGCTCTCTCACCCCCCTTCTCTTTAGTGGTTCTTGCTCTCTCACCCCCTTCTCTTTAGTGGTTCTTGCTCTCTCACCCCCCTTCTCTTTAGTGGTCCTTGCTCTCTCCCCCACCTCTTGCCTATCTTTGCAGTGTGGCCTGGCAACATACAGCAGCTTCTGTTTCCTGTACCTGGCCAGACTGACAGGAAGTGCTTTCACTTCCTGTCAGTCCGGCTGGGTACAGGAAACAGAAGCTCCTGTACCGCTGTCTGCCGCCTGGCCATGCTACCCTGAGTGACAGGTAGGAGGGAGTGCTGTGCGCCTCCCTCCTGCCAGATCACTCAGATCTTGCGCCCCCCATAGGCCAGTGTGCCTTAGGCGACTGCCTAAGTCACCTATAGGACGTGCTGGCCCTGAGTATACAATTTGTGTCCCGGACGCTACTTCACGTTTAACAGACATGTGCAGTACAAGGATTATTGGCTACACAGATGATGATGCATTTTGCCCCCAATTTCTCGCCAAAAAAATGCATCTTCACCTGGGACTCTTGAACTTCATACCCCCCTTTGTGTTTCTTCTCTTTTGAATCTCTCACCCACTTTAGAATATCTTATCCTCCAATGTGTCCCTTTGTGCATCACTTACACTCCACTTTCTGTGTCTTTTACTTCACTCAGCCCCTCTGCATGTATTTTTTTTCCCCTTTCTGCTCTGTATGCGTCCTCCCTCCAGCAGTTTGTGTATCTCTTTATCTCATTCCTCAACGACTATGTCTCTCACCCAGCTCCTTGTGTGTCTATGTTTCACCTCTGTGCCCCCTCTTGTGTTTCTCTACTCCCCAGCACCATGTCTCAGTCTGCACCCAGCCCACACGTGTCTCTTTTGCACTTGTGTACCAATATCTCCCCCTGAGCCTTTTGTGTGGCTCTTCCCATCCCAGTTCCTCCAACTATCTCACACAGCCCATCTGTTTCTTTTCCCTAAGCATGGGCCCTCCAGGTGTCTCATTCCAGACTCACTCACACACACACACTCTCTCTCTCTCTCTCTCTCTTTCTTTTGACCCTTTCCCAGCCCCTCTAGGTGTCTCTTTCTCTCCACAGCTGTTTATTTCTCCTCTTCCCTAGCCCATGTGTCTCTGTAAATTCTTCTTGGACTCCAGATAAATTTGTGCACCAAATACAAAAATTTGACTCGAGAGTTGCTAAAACGGTTGCTATAATTTAGAGTAGAGCTGCAACTAAATTATTTTCATAATGAGACACTTGTTTAAACGATTAATCAGATTTAAAATAAAATACACAAACTGAGTGCGACATATATTCAACTTTAGACTAAAACCACCAATGCAAAGTGTTTTCCTACTTGGCAAGGGGCAGAGCCGATCCTAGGATCACAGACGACGGGGTGCAAAACATTTTAAGTGTGAACAGGTCAGCAGGGTCATCATACCAACTCCTCCCCTTGGCCAGTGTCTAGTCATGCATGTTTCTATGACAATGAAGACACCTCTCCATCTATTTGCTCCAACACTTAAAAAAAAATTAAAAAATTTTTTTAAATCAGACACTCGCGGACAAACATTCACTGACAGACCGAAACACAATCTCACTTATTTCTCACACACCCTGACAAAAACAAGCACTGACAGACTCCTAATGACAGACACACAATCTCACCTATTTGAAACAAACAAACAGATGCACACTTTAAGGTTATTTCTTGATTGATCAATCGACTGCTTCGAGGTCTCTTTTCCTGCTCCTCACTCCTCGTTTGCATGCGCTGCCCGGCATCACCACGGAGGGCAAGTGAGTAGCAGGAAGAACATAGTTCTCCCTCTCCGCTAGCCTCCTGCTTACTCTCCCGTGTAGAATATTTCAGCATAGTAGGCACCGACCAGGGTAAACAAGTGCCTACTCTGCCTTGGTTAATAAGCACCACACGGCGACGTCCCGGCCACCTTAAGACAGACCATCAGCTTGCTCTGCACAGCCCCTCCCCTACCTTCTAGGAGCAGTTGCGTGCACCTAACCAGGAGTGGCCCTGGTAAGGGACCTCTTAAAGTGGCACGTAATCTTTATGAAATACTAATTTTGGCTGTGTTGGAATTTTACTGCATTTCCAACCCAGGCAAGAGATGAACAGGGACAAAGTAGGGACTACTTTATCTTTGTATTTCTTCTATGCCTGACTTTGACACAATGTGAAGTTAAAAGTCAACCCCTTCAGTCATCAGTGACAGCTGAAGAGAATTGGCTGTACAGGGAGGATCCTGCAATCCCCCATCGATCTTAAAGCTGTAATCTCATGCATGTGCAAGAGTACAGCAGAGAGGTGGGCACAACAGTGGACCACGCTGTATCAAGATGGAGACACCGATGAGGTTCAGGTAAATTCACTTTACCCACCCCCAAACCAGCACCAGCGATGTCACCATCGGGAGACTTTGCAAATTCATCAGTCTCCAAAAGGTGACAGTGCTGCTTAAAGTAAGCCTGGACTTGCCTTTTTTTTTTATGCTCTTCCTTTTGCTGCCTCCAGACTCAAGGAGTGAGTCAAGCAAAGAGACAGGCATAGAAAGTTGAGCAGCTGTAGTTACGATTGAGGGTTAGGTTTGTTTGCTACTGCTGCACCTTTTCCCTTCACTCTGCAAATGCATCTGTTTGTACATTAATTTGTTGAGGTGTCCAAAAATTCAGCCTTCTAATTCTTGGGTCAATGAGGCAAGTATAGTTCTTTGGTACCACCCTCAATGGATCTCAACAAATCATATACAAGTGCAGGCACGGCCGAGATTGTGATAGTTTATGTCCACTCAAACACAATGACACATCCATACTCTATTCCACTGGTTGGCAACCTTTCGCACTCCAGCTGTTGTGGATTATATCTCCCTCAATACTCTTACAGCCATAATACTGGCAAAGAAACACCCGGAGTGCCAAAAGTTGCCTAACCCTGCCCTAGTCTGCAATACTTTAATGCTTGCAAATACTATATGAAGTATTTATTTTTATCAACAGAATGCAAACTATTAGAACATACCAGCCAAAATATCTTTGTAATGCCAAGCCTCCATTGCAAGCCAATAACCAGTCTCATGCTGATGAGTTGCATTAACAACGAAACAGCTGTCCATGAGTGGTTCACTGGCTTTGCTCCTCTTCCTGAGTTGTGTTTCAAAGCTGTTCTTTGCAGCAGACACATACTCTAAGGAATCCATGTATAAAGTGGAATTAGTAGGCAAATGTGGTTCTTTGTTGAACTTATTTGCATACACCTATCAAGAATCCCTTTCAGTAATGAGAGCACTGTTAAAGTGAGATTTATGTGGGAAAAGCAAGTGTTATGGCTTGACTTGTGTGTGTATTTGTGTTTAGCAATGCATTAGCTATTCAATTACTTCAGGTGGAAGGGGTTTTCATCCACACTTTTCCCCCCACCACAACTCTGTTGGTATGTACCTTCATATACATATTTATGCACCAGTTCTGTATGTACAAGGTTTTTTTTAATCCTGATCCACTAGAAGTGAAGTGTTACATCAGGATAAGTACTTGTGGATCAATGAAATAAATCAGACAGGAGACCAATTAATTAATGCTTTAGCAGCCAAACACATTTTAATAGACTTTGTATTCCAAGAACACTCCCCTCCCCTCAAAAAAAAAATAAAAAAAAAATCTTGTCGTAGTTATAATGTGAAGCAACAGAGTTGCACATAATACAATCAAATGTTTTCTAAAACAATGAAAAAATAAGCCTGTTAAAAGCTCCCACGCTTCATTCAAAACAAAAGAATCCCCCCTCCCCAAAAAAACAACTCCTTTTCAGAAGACTCCACGTGTACATCCCTTTTCCAATCAAGGATTTCTGCAACCAAAGGCTCCATGAGAGAAAGGGGATCATAATTATCTACACACCTATATATGTATTTAAAATATATATTATATAAGTGTGCATAACAGGTATATTTGAGAAGTTAGGAGCCTTTTTAATCAGTGCATCCAGGTAATTCCTTGATGCCCCCAACCAACTTCCTAATAAATTGGGTCTTTGCCTCTGAGTCATATGTAAGGATACAGTACCAGCTGCTGCAAAATAAAAACACAACAAATTGTAAAACAAAGACTACGGTCTCAGCTTATATGTATCTTAATAAAAGAACATTTCAGATTGCATCAATCAGTGAAACAGGATTCTCCTAAGTACCACAATACTATTAAGATTTCAGACTTAATGGTGGAAACACATAAGAAAAGGGGGGTAAAAATAGTAATAGCATTTGATGGATGGATATGTTGAAATGTACTTGAGGTTGAGCAGGCCAAAGCAAAGATCAAGGGTATGGATAACCTACACGACAAAGCGTGAGATATATATATATAAAAAAAAAATATGGTGGTTGATTCATTTTCAGCAAGAATTTGTCTGGCCACACAAAGCCATAACCAGCTCAATATGGCACTCAGGAATGTAATCATTGCTTGCAATGGCACCCACTGGGGTTGTGATTATGCCTGATTGGTTAGCAAAACTGTCTGCCAGCTTCAGGTTTGGTCTCAAGCTACGGCTTACAAGTGGTGACTTAGAGACACTTCACAGATAAACCAATACATGGAAAGAGTCAGTTTTTGCCAAAAACAAGTGACATTCGGCATATTGTTTTTAGGCACATTTTCAAATTCCAACATCATTTACTGGCATCAAAATTTTGATCTTTGATGATACAGTTCCTGCCTCTAATTTTCCAGTCTAGAAGCAAAATACAGCAATGGGCCAAGTTCAATAGAAGGTACACGATGAGACACCTTCTGTCTTATTACATAGTAATTCTGATCAAAACTTCTTTGCAAAGCATTAAGCAAAGAAATTTCAAGGAACACTTGGAACGTAAATCTGTATTGATAAAAGTTTTAAAGCATACTATGTATTCACATTATAATACAACTGCCATCTATGACAAAGATCAAATAATAAATAACCTATAACTTTTGTTCTGATGATCCTTTTGGACGTGTCTGCAAGCCATTAATTTTACTTTAGTGGCTTAGTCAAAATAATTTTTGGTTTGTTTTAAGACTAACTTATTACCTTAAACAACCAATGAAAGCTTAAATAAAAAACAAACAAACCAAATGGCTTATATCTAGAAATGAAAAAAACCAATGCTGAATGTTGACAGATTAGAGAGAAAAGCAACATTTTAGTGTGTAGATCATGACAAACATTTGACTAGTGAATGTTCATGAGACAGTCCATCTGTTATGAACCGGAGAAGCCATTTTTGACTCACTGTAGACTAAATTGACTCGTAGCTCATTCACTGAGACATTCTGCAAGTTGACTTCCAACTTTTTTCAAACCGACGCTTAGATAGCAGATAAATATGTTTGGAAAGTGCGATTACTATCTATGCAATACAACTTTAAAACAGAATTAAATCCTCTCACCACCCACCCCCCCGAAACAGGTTTCTGCCAACTATAAGACATTACACAGACAACTATGGCATTGCCTTCGCAAGCATGCTGTTACAAGATTTCCTGTTAAAACCCATCAGGTTTTCAAAATATATTTGGTCAGAGGAGCATGGACACAAGTTGTAAAATGCACTTTTGGACACTGTTGAAAAGGGAATATTGGCTATAAGATGTTTACAAAATAACGTCGGCAGCAATGGAAGGGTGTTCATGTTAATATAGACAATATTACACAATGTTTTAGGAAGAAGATTAGGGTGGGGCCAGTGCTGACCTGATACACATCTAAGGTTTGTAAACAATAGACAGTCTTTTAAAACGCTGCCCCCAATGCTATTAAATGGAGTATATATATACCTATCCCCCTTTGTACTGTGTGAACCTTATGTTGCAAAATAGTAAAATTAAGTGACCATTTAAACTAACAAAAAAAAAAAAACACCAAAAAAAATAGCATTAGGACACTGAAATATATTCAGATTTGAACACGTTTTAAGATATTTTCAGAGCTGCAATTGGACATTGCCCCATACATGTAAGATTTTCAAAAAATGCTCTCAAGAACCTCCTGCCTCCCTAAAAACAAAAACAAATACAATTGACACAAATCCAACATCAGAATGAAAACTTAAGAGCACAAAGGGGTAGTCTGAACACTTGTAATTTCAGCGACATACAGTAATAATAGATTTTTTTTTGCTTAGTTGAGCAAATTTTAATTTTGTAACAAAACACTAAAGTTGTTTTTTTTTTTTGTACTTTTTTGTAATAAATGCGGAGGGAATAGAATGTATTTCCCTTCCTTGTCAACCTGAAATTTAGCTCAGTTTTTCCTGTTCCCTCCTATAGGTGCAGTCTTACAAAAACAGTATTTGGAGCTTTTTTATTTTAGAAGCCAAGTCTAAATATGTTGCCAAAATTTACAGTTCTGGATTAACACACAAGCAGTTTTTGTTAAAATGTTACCAAACAACTATTCTTTTGCAGATAGTGTACTAACCAATTCAAACTGTAAGCTTCATAAGAGGCAAAAAAAATTGCTATTTGGAAAATCAGATTAGAAATGTTAGTCCAAGAAGTTCATGATTATTATTAAGTGTTATTCACAGTAGTCCACATATGCCACAATAACAGCCACAGAAAAATGCTTAACCCTTTCCAAATGCATTTCCAAGAAGTAGCATTACAAATTAAACAGGCACAATGTAATAATCTTTATACAACCTCCATGACTGGTAACAATTTTTTGGCCTCTCTGGCAGTCGGTGTAAATTTGACTTCTAGCTATTTAAGAAAGGCATCAATTTTGAAAATTATGGGTTAAAAAAATTACAACTTTTACTATGCAAAGCAAAATAGATTAAAGCATCTTTCAGAATATATTTCTTAATCTGCTGCTATATGAATCACAACAGTCTGTAAAGATGAAGTAGGGAATGGAGGATTAGGAAGGAGACCAGGTTCATATTCTGCAGTTTAAAACAATAAAAAAACCTGCCAAACAAAAAGTGTATGAAGCACCAAACTACACAAATAGAATGCAGTAAATGTCTTGACTGAAATGAGAACACAGGTTTTGTTTTGTTTGCAGGGTGCGCAAGGGAATAGGGCATAGGTATGAAAGCATCATGTTCCAATGCACAACTGCAGTGTTTGTTAGTAACATTACTAGGCACATCAATTAATGCCATTTCTACTGCAAAATTCCCATTTAGCGTAAAAATGTTGCCCTATGTTAATGATTGAACATGGGTAACTGAAATGTAGTAGCCCTTTTAGAACAATATTAGTCTTCGCCTCTAAATGGTTTAGTAACGTCTCATTGCATTGAAGTGAAAGGATTACCAAATTGCAGATTTAAAGCCAAAAATGGCCATCCTGTAAGTACAGCAGAGTTTGAATATTTTGCAAGAGGATTATCAGATCGTTGCAGTCCAGAGGGAGAGGGACTCTTGAACACTTTGCTTTAGATTTTACACTTGCTGGTAACCTTGATACATTCACATCAGACAGTTGGGTTTTATACTCTTAAAAACAAAAGCAAGCTAGGTCGCAGTGCACACAACCTTCAAAAGTAGATAAACCTGAGTGATAAATAATAAGAGCCCATGGGATGCATTTTATGCATAGACAATAATTAAAAATAAAGCAAAAATAGCAATAGTGTATATTTTCCACTTGACACTTCTACATTTCAGTTGTAAAAAGGCAGTAAAAATTGGATTTGAAAAAGGTATTGCACATAAAGGAAACTAGATTTAATCAGAACCAGAGAAAAAATGTAAATGTAAAATACATTACTATATTCACTAATTTTTATTTAAGTAAATCTGCTTGATTAAGTAAAAATTAGTTTTTGAAACAGAATTTGTTTTCTTACATTAAATGCCTATCAAGCAGACCTCACTCTATGATGAGCAAACTATGCACAAGCATGCTTAAAGGTTTTAGGACAGTATTCTCAATATTTGTCCCTGCAATTGTTTGCTACACCTATACACAATTCCTTAGCACAGATGTACACTAGAGGTTTAATAGGGTCTACATTGAGCTATAGATTCTGCTTTGCGATTGCATTTGATTGCAAATTATAATACTACTCCATACACACACTGGTGCAAAGCCTATAGACACACATCAATATCAAAATATTAGGTTAGTTGCACAGGGTCCTGTATGCCTCTAAACTGGTCACAAAGTGAGTTGGGAAGATGATCTTTGATCAGGGATAAAACCATAAAATAACAAATAAATGTAAAGTTACATAACACATTTTTGCAATCTCATTTTAGATTTACCCTGCGACTAAAAGCAAAGTTTACTGCAGATGATACAATAGGCAAAATGGGCAGTGTCACCCCTCCAATCTTTTCTTCAAAAAAAGGGAATGTGATCCTTTAATCAGCTGACTGTCCCCTGACATGATACCGAAAGTGTTCAATTTAAATGCTCGGTAACTTGATAGGACATCAGAACTAGATAGAACTAATAGCTCTGCAATATATTAATTGTGTTTTTCATTTACCTATTGGATAATTGGGCATTTATGGGAAAGTACAAGATTGTTTATAGAATACTTAATAGGAGACATATATATATATACACACATATACATATATATATATATATATATATATATATATATATACATACATACATATACACATACATACATATATATATATATATATAATTGTTTATTCCCCCCCACATGGTTATATGATGTAAAGCAGCACTAGGGACAGCTGCAAGGTATTGGCTGAGTCTATGGAAGATCCATAGACCTTGAGAGTACAGCAATGACAGAGTACTGTTGTTGAGGAGTGGCGCAAGAAAGATGGCAGCGGCTGCGAGGAAAAGGTTCAGTTAAGTAATCTCACTTTTGCCTGCCCACTGCTGCCACCGGACTCCAGTGATATCTCCATCGGGGGACTTTGCAAATTTGGCAAAGGCTACAGACTGTGACAGTGCCACTCTGAGTTACATTTTTGCTGCTGTATTTTGCAAATATACATAATAAGCATCCATAATATTTAGTAAAAAAATAAAGCTAAAATATCGGCCAAACAGTTTTAAGTCAAACTAAAATTATCTGTGGAGAACGCCAGTGTAGCAAATCTAACTTTCCCCATGAAGCCATAGGTTATGAAGAGGGAAAAACAAACAAACAAAAAAACTGTCCAATTCATTTTTCCTGGCAATTATCTGGCTTCATTAGGATGAGTTACTAGTATTCAAAAAGTAGGGACAGGGTTAACTGTGACCAGATTTGAGGTTATAATAGGTATCGTTGGTTCAACTTCTACCAAATTTATATCACCAAGACATAATGCATACCATAAAAAAACCAAAAAAAAAAAAACCATGCCACTAATTTGACACCCCTGTATATTTTGGACAGGAAGAATAAAGCACTCTCTGTAGACTAAGCTTCTATTTGACAGAATGGATTGTTTAGACCCTCAATGGTTTGTCACCTCATAATTGCAATTCACAAACAAGTCCAGCAGTGTGTAGATACACCCAATATGTATACATTGGCTGTACAGTAGCATGTGTTGTGATCAGCATACTCCCCTTTAATGTTCAAGATTAAGGCACAATTGACCTGCTACAGTACTAGGGGCATTGTGGATGAGTTGAGATTGGTTTAAATGTGTTCATGTCAAGAAATGAAGCCATTTATTTTAGCTTGAAGGGAAAAAATAGAAAAAGTAACTTTGGAATAATCTACACATGGCTTACAATTTCAGGATCTTCACTACTAGCCACGCTTTAACAGGACACTTCACTGCCCAAACACACCAAAAAAAAAAAATTCCTGCCTACTGCCTTTGAAAACCATTCCCTTCCTACCTAGCTCAGACTCTCTGTGGTTGTTCAATCACAGACTTCCCAATGCAGCTCAATGGGAAAGGTCTTTGCAGGGCAGGTCCTCTGGGTAATTGCCTGACGGTTGAGTTTAGCTCCACTGAGCAAATCAAACCAGGAAGTAACCTGTTGTGTGATAACGTATTACATTTAAATTGGATTTTCATTACTCTAGTACAGCTTTAAAATGGTTCTTATACTATGTATCAATACATACACCAAATATACAGATCTTTAATTACAAAGCAACTGTTAAGTGGAGAAGCAGACTCCATTTTCCTAGTGCTTTCAATTACATCCTTTTTTAAATGATACAAACAAAATGCTTTCTATAGAAACAAATCCTGCAATATGTATTCTTAATAAATAGGAAGGGGGCGCAAACATCCCTTCCCCAATAAAAACAAAAAAAACTTTACTTTGTTTCTATAAAAAGCAAAACATTGCATGTTCTTAGTGCTTAACTGAGATCTCCGGGCTAGGAAACTAATTTCAGAGCCAAGAGGTGTAACCAATTCTATTCACTGGGGCCAACACTACTGAATGAACACTAAGTTAACCAACGATAAGATATCACTAATGATATTTACTTCAAAGGATTAATAAAAGAAAGACGAATATTAGCAGCATGTTCCCATAATATATGCAGCAATGTCCTCCCTGCTTGGAAATCAGCATTTATTTGCAATACAGTATGTTTCCAACCAATGATTGTTCTCATACTATACCCGTGTCCTTTTATCAGCTCTACCCCTTGATTAGTAAGCTACTTGTTTACAACCTATCCAAAAAAAAAAAAAAAAAAATTTATATATATATACACACACACACACACACGCTTTTTTTAAAGCAACATGGCCTTGTCAGTCTCAAAGTGCAATGTAAACAAGTTTTTTGACAATGATGTATACCAGTCAACCAGAAAACAGGGTGGGGGTCTTAACTAAAGGTCAATTCTTAATAGCAGAAAGAAAATCATTAATAGGCCACTAACCTTTCGCTGGCATGGTTGCATCAAAAATACATGAAAAAACTGTAGGGAACCCCCCCAAAAAATTTAAATAAAAACTTACTGGCCTTAAATATCTTTTTCCTAGGCTGGTTTATATAAACTGGATATTACTCTTGCTAGTAGGCTTAACTTCAACCTCTGAACATGTCATGTGATATTTACTTTATAATGCTATAACCTCTCCATTTCATTACGACAAAAAAGTAAAACCTCCGGAAAGTGCTGTGTACGTGGAATTATGTATAAAAATACAGAATGAACATTAACTGGTATTAAAATACACTTCTGAAAGGTGATTACGTTTTGCACATTTCTTTTTCATAGAAAGTCGCTGTTACCTATATTCCGGCAAAGACCTGTATGATTAAATTCATAGCAAAAAAACCTCAGCTGAAACAGCCTTTGAATTGTGAAACATGATACTTAAAGGGATACTATAGTCACCAAAACAATTTTAGCTTAATGAAACAGTTTTTGTGTATAGATCATGTCTCTGAAGTTTCACTGCCATTTAGGAGTTAAATCCATTTGTTTCTGTTGATGCAGCCCGAGCCACACCTCCCCTGGCTGTGACTCACACAGCCTGCATGAAAAAATATGGTTTCCTTTTCAATAAGATGTAACATACTTTACAATTTTTCTATTTCCTGCCCTGTCATTTGAACTTTATTTGCATACATACAGCTCCTCCAGGGTCTAGCAAGCTATTAACAGAGAAGGATATAAAAAAAATTCTAGAGAATTATAGAGAATTTGTAAACATTAGATGACTCTTTACAGGAAATGCTTAGGGAGGCTTTCTAAGTCACATGCATTGAGGTGTAACTAGGGCTGTAATAAAGTGATTTAACTAATAAATGGCAGATAATTGAGCGGTGAAACTGCAGGGGCATGATCTACACACCAACACCGCTTTATCAAACTACAACAGTTTTGGTGACTATAGTGTCCCTTTAACATGTAGAGAGTTAGCCGCAGCCCCACAGTACAGGGATAATTTCTGGTAAATATGCTTGTCACACTGCGCACCATCGCATTATTACATGGGCTATTCACTGAAATTTTTGTGATTTAATATCAGACTTGCAGAATTTAGACTAAAATTGCAGAGTTTGATATTTTCTCTATCACATCTGGTACTCTGCAATTTCTTGCAAGTTGCTTCCCAATTCTTTTTTTCAGTGACTAACCTGACAGAAGTAGCTGGGATGAGTTAACATGCAAGTTTTATTAAAGACCATGAATGTCTACAATGAGTCTAAGAAAAGAAGTATTTGTTTATATCTATCAGTTATTTAACTGTGGAGGTTTAATGGTGCAGCATTAAGTTTGACAATATGTTCCAGGTTGATTTTCCATGAGTGTCTACCACCGTATCTTCAATACCCTTGCCCAATCAGCACAGGTGGTTATTTAAGGTCATAGTATGACTGATCTATCCATGTACAAAAAAAAAAAAAAAAAGAAAGAAAATCCATACTAGTGATACAGAATAAAAACAATTGCTTTATGAATGGGGTTTGAACACCTTTTGATGCCACTCTGATTGCATCATTACTTCTATTTAAACACAAATTGGATTTAAAATTGTAAGTCTCACATTTGTCCTACACAAATACAATCAGATTTTGGTAAAATAACGACTGACCATTGTGTGCGGAGGTGCTGAATAATTTAATTTGGAGTATAAAATGCCCTTCGACACAAATGCTTAGAACAAAATGCAGTTATTTTAAGTGACTTTCTTTAAAAGAAAAAAAAAATAATACCTCTGAGATGTATCTGAAGGGGCAATTTTGTTTAACATAGCATTAGCCTTCCTGCCTGACTGGCACAGTTACCTCCCAATAAACACGCTCAATAGGTGCAGTTGGCACATGGCTCCCAAACAGTTACAATTAACTCTCATTGGCTATACAACGAAATCGGATTTAACATGTTCACTTTAGGAAATCTTGACGTGAACGTGTTATGTAATTGGGAGACATACTGCGCTGATGACAATAGGAACAGTGAGCATGTTTTGCATAAATAAGTTGCCTGTGTCTCTTTGAATTTTTTTTTTTAGAAATTCTAATTTGGTCTTTTTTTTCCCTTTAAAAGAATAAGTGAGGTTGGAATATTACGGTCACTGCTAATGTAACATAAGTTCTCCCACAGTAAAAGTCCAGACTGTAATGCTATCTGCTAAATACTGGCTTTTCCAGTGCATGACATTACTAAACGAGCATACAACTTCAGTATCATTCAGATTTATGTTGCAATTAAGTAAATGATATTCAAAATGTGTCCAGTTAGTGACACTTGAGAACAGATTCATGAACATTAAAGGGTCACTCTTGGTTCCTTCAACTGAACTGTTAGCCAATTTAGGCTTCAATTTAATAAGCTTTCCAAATAAATCAATACGGTAAGAAAAATTTCCCATTGATTTATCTACTGAAATCATTGAAGTCTAAGTCGATTTTTGTATACATCAGTTGGAAAGTTTTCTAGCAGTAATGAATCATTTGGAAATCTTATTAAATCAAGGCATAATAAGCATGTTCAAACTTGTTTGACTTTGTACCCACCCCAACAGCTTAAATGCATTCCCTTGGTTTCTCATTTGCATAGGAAGAGTGATCCCAAAAAAACAAAAACCCCAAAAATCCAAAACAGATGTCCTTCGGTCCCAAAAACAAAACAAAAAAAACACTACTCCCCATAAGGAATCAATGTATTGCTACTTGATCACACACAACGCAACAAGTGGAACTTCACTCAAAATAAATTTGCATTCAATCGCAATTGATTTTTAAATGATGGAAGCGTTTCGTCTGAACTGCAAATGTAGCATTATATTTATTCCTGTGCAACTGGTAAAGTCAGGGATAGTCAGATTCTCCAGCTAGACCATGCTTTCAATGTAAACTGGAAGATGATGACCAGACACATGACAATTTATAAGAGTGAGAACCAGGTATATTTTTATATAATGTATTCAACAGGCAGTATAGCCAACCTGGAGTATTCGGTGATTGTGAATCCCAACAGACCCCATGTAATACCTTTTTTTGACTTTGAAAACAATATTCAAACATAAAAGAACATCTAGTATAAAGAAAGATAAATATAGGTAAACATTGTTAGGTTGACAGATGATGTTACACATATAGTACTATTAGCTTCTGCACTTTTTATTCAAGGCTTTTGCCCTTTCAACTGAAATGTATTTATCATAATCATTATTTAACACTGTTAATATTTGAAGTACCTCTCTCTGCTTACTGACCGTCCACATTTTTTTTAAAATAAAATTGAGACATTTAAGATATTATATTATCCCCTCCAAATAAAAGCATTTATATCTTTCCCAAAAAATTAAAAATATATGTATATTTATAAGCTTTTTTTTATTATAGGCCTGAAGGCTTGTAATAACACATCCAAATTACAATTATCTGGAGTTTAATTTCAATTGAGCCAACACAGCAAGCACCACTGAGCTGTTTGCGAGTAACACTACAAAGAAACATATCAGAAAACAAACTATTTGAGATGCCTCTGTCAAAAAGCTAGATGAATGAATATATATATATATATATATATATATATATATATATATATATATATATATATATATATATATATATATAGTTTTTGGATCACAAAGAAATATATGGAAACATAATTACAAGATGAGAACAAACAAATAACATTCTGGTTTGATACAAATGTCCATTTACATTTGTCCACAATATAAGAAAAGAAAAACAAAACAACAAAAAATCCCGCAATGCAGGTAATAAACATGAAATCCTGAAACCTGGAAGAAACACTACATAATATTAACCCAAATTCTCTTTCACTCACTCTGCACACACACGCACACAATCACAGTTTAGTTATTAATACAGCTAATGGATGCCAAAGAGTTGCTCAATATCGATTATACCATTTAACTGAAACAGCCCAAAAATGCATAGATATAATCCCATACTGAGCAAGCAGTTTTCCTCCATAAGATACCACCAAGTACCTTAATGTAAAAGAAGTCTACAAGGTGCCCTCCAGCAACAGACTGGCTCTCATGGGAGAAGACTACTTAGCGAAGTGATGGCCACCAGGGGCATACCAGATATTTGTGAACTAAACTTCCTATTATGCTTAGTGAATGTGCAGGATAGCTGATCGTCATAGATAGTTAAGTTTAGAAACATCTGGAATCCCGCTAGGTTTCAGCATTGGCTTAGTAGATGTGGGGCTAGGGTCTGCTCCCCCCTCATTGGCAAAGGGAGTAAATGCCACATTAACAGCAATGAGATTTAGAGTCAAGATCTTTGAGACAGGATTTGCAATATTTCTCAATAGGTGATGATACAAAGCATTTTTTCTGGTAGCTTTAACCCACCAAATTGCAGAAGGGAATAATAATCACTGGCTTTGTAAACACACTGTACGTGTTGAAAGCCAGGCCTGAGCTCAAAGCAAAATGATGGCATTACAAGTGGCCATGCAATATTTGTCACACAGATGTAGAATTGAACTGATTAACAGAAACAGATTAATCAACCTGGAACAGACGTGGCCAAATTGTGCCTCGCTCTTCAGTTACAGGTGGACAAAAATGCATTTTTTCCCCTCAGGCTTTGTTAGATAATTGAGGTTGTAGTAAAAAAGGCAGCACAAAAGTGACTTAAGAGTTCTGATGTGGATTGTTTACAGAATAAGTAGTTGGTGTACCTGCAGCCCTTATATTTTTTACCTCAACTACCACCTAACACAGAAACATCTGCAGGACTGCGGTTAGCTCAGCCCAGCTTTAACAGGTTACTGTTAACTATGTTTTATGCAGTTGATCCGTCATAAAAAGAAACCTGAAAGGGATTTGAATTGGTAAACCTCAATTCCTGCAGCACATGCAAACTGGTATGATGAAATCATGTGTTAGGCACCAGAAAACATAATTTTTCCCCAAAATAAAAATAAGATATAACCACCAACAGGGGCCAGACTAGGTGAATCTGGTCTGTACCGATCACAGAGCGGTAATATACATCACAGGTATCGATTAGTGCAGGAATTTAGCATGGAAGGATTTGGTTGCAACTTCTACCCACTTAATGAGCCTTAAATCTGCCAAAGGAGACCACTACATATTATAGACTCTTTGGTAGCACATGGGGTTAAGGCAGCAAGGACACAAAAATAAAAATCTTAATATAAAGAATTTTTGGGGGGAAGGGGGATGGGGGGTTGACAGCAGGAAGTTATCAAAATGGAGCATGTAGAAAGTACATCTACATCTAGAAATTTCACCCAACACCAACATAAAGGGTTATATCATGAGGTTTCCCCCCAATGTAAACTCATGTGGATGAAATTACATCGTTGTTAATTATGTTTGCCCAAACACAGTAAAAGGGAAATTTTGGATTTTAGAATTAAAATGGTGCAGGCATATAGTAATGTTACTTTAAGCCAATCTGTGCATACCAAATCCATGCTAAAATACAAAATTATCCAGTAATCTCTCTTAATAAGCAAACATGTAAACAGAACCTAAGAGGTGCTAGTATTAAAAAATGTATTTTTTTATGTGAAAGAAAGCCACTTACAAATGGAAACCTCAAAATATAGATGCATACAAATCTTTAAACACTGGATGTTCCAGTTTCCTGACACCCACTCCACTAGTTGGCTGATTATTATTTTTTTCCCCACTGCCAAATTTTATATATCAAAATAGCCAAGGGCACACATTTGAACTTTGTTGTCTGGTTCAAGTATGGAAAAGCTGACTTAAGTAAAAGGCCTTCTTTCATGGCTGAAAAACCACTTTCTTAGAACTAGCATCCCTTTAATCTTCCCAAAGACACAGGCCACACACTTTTCTGCAACAGATAAGGTAGCCATTTCAAAACTTCGTTAAATATACACATAGAAAGGCTGTGTGTAGAATACAAACACAGATACCTGCAGATGTGTGTGGAGTATGTTAGTGCTACACACATGCATTTGTGTATGTGTGTGTATATATCTATATAGCAATCTTAAAGACACTTCTACCTCTGTGCTGGTTTGACAGAGGGAATCACACAAACTATACTGATTTCATGAGTCTACCAAAGAGTACCTGAAAAGATTACCAGCATGGAAATCATCTTGCCGCTATGGAAAGCATAAATAGGCAGTATATGTGGCAGCCAGAGATGCATGTGTTTACCCCTTTAAAAAGGGGTTAGCTTATAGTTTGGTTTAATACAATGCATATTGTACACTTAAAAAAATAAAATAAATCTTTAAATGCACATGTTGAAGTGCCATAGTGACAACCAGTTCTAGGAGTACATTTCAGGTGATAAGAAAGGGCACACTCAAAAAACATATGGGTTCTTGAATAGATAGGGCACAGGTTCATATTTTGAATGCAGCTAAATAGGATTTTGTTGAACGAATGTAGAGAAAAACACATTAAATATTTAAGTTATTTAAGACTGTTCATGAGAACAATTGTATATATTAAAAAAAATTACACTTGAAAATCCTAAACAAAAGACTTCTTCTCTATATTGGTTTTACAAAAATGTCTTTGAAGATTAAATGCCTTCAGTTCAGAGTCTAAGAGCTTCTAGCAATCAGAGGTCTCCTCCTTTAATGGAGATATGTAATAGATTGTTAATGGGATATCGCACAAATTATTTTGCTACAAAAAGGGGCATTTACAACACTGCAGAGAGCGTGAGATAAAAACACTAAGTGGGAAATCCTTGTCACATGCAAGTCCCTGTGCTGTTCGAATTCCCTTAGGAAAGGTAAGGGGACAACAGTACAATAAACAGAATTTAAACACGCAGCCTTCCCGGATGGCCAAGCAGCAAGATTGACGTTCAAACCCATTAAGTGCCACAAGATAGGAAGATCAGCCTTTTAAATGAACAATGACCCCTTTGCTGCCATTAAAAAAACACTAGAATGTAGGACTCTCTGGCAGCAAAGAGATTACATAAAAACCTGTATGTTCGTTATCTGCATTAGATGCCAGAGGAAGAATGAAGTAATTATATTAATAATAATAATTAAAAAAAAAAAATCTAGAGGGGGGATTAGAAACTGCTCGAGAAACACATTTGGGGGTAGCTTGCTTTTGGAAATGGTTACGCAAATCTCACCCTTTTATCCTGGCAGGTGGTTCTTCTGAAGCATGGTTAGCAAATGATTAAAGACAATCACCAGAATTTTGGACTTTTCAAATCAAGAGTATGCATATATCTCCAACCGGGATACATACACATAAGAAAGCCAACCAAACTAAAACGTAGACCAGCGCCATTAAGTTGCTGCAGGTTAAATCTGGGTCAGTGGAGTTATCATGTGCCAACCTTCCCTGTAACCCCAAAATCCAGACCATTTTCTAAAAGGAGGTGTTGTGTTGCTTGTTTCAGGCTATGAAATGTCTAATAACTGCACAACAGAGATGTGTTTACCCTGAAAATGTACAGCGTTGACAATAATTTAACCTTTTTGTCACCATAGAGCGTTGAGGCTACCCTTTGGTCAGCAAAGAAGTTAATGTGCAAACAACACTTTCTCCTGCATACTTTGCAACAACTTCAGTTTTTTCTTCTTGTTTCAGCCTTTCCAAAATGCCATGTAAAATGAAAAATAAACCCCCAGCTCTGCCCCCCTCAGCACAAAATGACTCTTAAATGGTAGATTTTTATGAATTCACATTGTCTTTCAACATTGGCTTTCATTATTCAAGTATTTCAAGACTGATATGTGTTTTGTCCTTTCCCTCCCATTTTCTACATTTACCCGACCCCCTTTCTCTGTTTGTTTTTCTCCATTTCCTTGTCCTTCCATCCCCTTTCTTCTTCTGATCTCTGATGGGGGTGGAAGGAACTGCAAGCACAAAAAAAGAAAACCAACCACTTTTAAAAGTGATCGCAGGTTTTTGTAACGTTGGCGATCAGGAGTCTTAGTCTGCACCCACCTGATTTCTCTATCCGTTTCTTTTTTTTTTTTTTTTTCTTTTTTTGTTAAAAAAAAAAGAAAAAAAAAGTATTTATTGCCAGTTTGAAAAAAAAAAAAAAAAACAAACACAAAAATGTCAAGTTAGTGCTGCTGCTCTGAAAGGTCACGAGGTCAGAGTTGAAAGTTCAAAGTTTATATCGAGTCGGTCCCTCCTCCCAGAAGGTCACCGGGTAGTAATGGGGCAGGGCTGCCCATCCTGTGAGCATCCTCTGTGCTGGGCACCCCCCACAAGCTTGATGTGTAGCTGGGAGTTCCCCAGAGTGAAACACCTGCCAGGTCACTACTACCACCGCCGCTGCTCCATTGCCCAAGCCCAGTGGTCCCTCCAAAAAGGTTCAAGGCTGGCCCTACAGGTTCAGCCTGGTGATTCTGTCCCACTTCCAAGGGCTGCCAGCCTGCACCCGGGGCAGAGGGAGCTGGAGGTTGAGCTTGTGCAAGGTAACGGCTCACCTCCTCGTCCGTTGCAAACTCTGCCAGGATTGTTGTATTACCCAAAACGCACCTGTAGATACAAAATAAAATAAATAAATAATAAAAAATAAATAAAATAAA